TCTACTTCCAGAGTGACTCTCTTTTTCTTCTGTGGTCATTTGAAAACATTTACTTGGAAGCCCCAGATGGTTACTCCTCTTGTGAGTTTCACATCTGGTCCCTGTACCACACTGGGCCCAGGCATCACTATGCAGATCTCTCATCAGAAATAAAGAGCACACCCCTCAATACTCCCACTCAAAATCATAGTCCTGTTCTAGGTCAGCCAGCACCAATGACTGGTCAAAAAAGGAGTAGGAAGAGCCCTTCACTACATCTTGGGACAACACTGAAGGGCCATCCCGACTTCAGATCTCTCTGGAGTTCCAATGAGGACTTTGTTGAGGCTGTCTAGAAACTCAAGATTTCCCTGTGCCCAATTTTGTTTCCTCTCCTGATCTCCTGCAGATGCTAACCCAGCAGCACACTGCAGTAAACCTTCCATGAACTTAATCTTGCCCCTCAGGGTCAAACTCTAGGGTGTCCAATTTATCCAGTGCACTGCCATGTTGTAGTTGACCAGAAGTAATTTCCAATTGCAGCCCTTCTATTGGCTTCCATGAGCCACATGATCCAGGCTTCCAGCAGAAGATGGGCCCCTGCATTTGGCAAGCTCCTGAGACAGGTTTCATGGCTTCCTGTGACCCTTGTGCACTGGCCGTGACAGAACTAAGAAGTGTCCTCTCTTCCCCAGTGGTGTGGGAATGAGACTGTTTATAATGTTGGCAACTCTAGAAATCCAGTTGATAGTTAGTCCTCCACTCTATTGGTCTCTGTACTCCCTTAAAGTAGACAGTGGACAGTGGCTACAGAAAGCACACAGCCATTTTCCAAAAGCTCTTTCTTGGGTTTTAAATTTTGGATGTGGGATTGACAACTACCACTTTGGAACCTCAGTTGAAATTGAGGAAGAAGAGTCCCATTTTAAAACCCTGTTACAGGACAAAGCCATTCCAATAGCCATGAAGGATATCTATGACCCCGGATTCTGTCACTCTTAGCTATCCAGATTCCAAGACAGAGACACTTTGGGCCCAATGTCATCATTTGAAGTGACAAAGCACCTTCATTTCTGTTCATGCCTTCTAAGGTGTGGCTAGCATGTCCTTCTTACCGGCCATTCCTCTCACATGGGTGTTATTCTATCACTTCAGAGATTACACCCACTAGCTGGCTGCCAGTCCAGGCAAGCCCTCTTTGGGTACTAGAGATAGGCATGGCTGGGACACAAGATTTTTCTGCTTGTTCACTCACTGTCTACACTCTCTTCCCTGTCACCAAATTCTTGCCATGCCTTTTGTTTAGACACTATGGTTGGGGTGGGTTAGAATTGATTACTACTTAAAAGATGCTTGTTGATTTCAGAAGCCTTCCTAGTGAGTAAATGTGTGCTCAACTGTACTATGTCCTCCTAGGGGGAAGGGAACTCTAGTGCTCCCCTCCTCCACACTGAGGCCCTGTTTGTCTGAATGCAGCAGAGGACTGTGGCCATGGACCAATGATTCTTTCACTACTAATTTGAGTGACGGAAATAAATTCATGACTTTACCCTGGAAAAAAACCTCAACCCTAGACTAGCAATGAAAGATGTTAGTCTCTAAATTGTTAGTAATCCAGGTGTAACAGGTGAGAAAGCTCGGATTAGTTATAACTGGGTGCTTATCAGTGAGCACTGAAGCATTCCAGTTTAAAAACAAGTTTGACCCTTTTCTCAATAAAAATCACAGAACTCCTTTTGCAGGATGACAAATTCTGGATTTGTGGGGCCTAAAGTCACATGGTTGACAGCAGATATAGCACATGTGTATGAAATGATCTCATAGCATTGGCCTGAAGCCAAGTACAGGAACATGGTTTTCTGGTCTTGGAGTTCAGGAACAGGGAGTGTGAGGACAGATTTTGTAGTTACAAAAGGAGTTGGTTTTGTTTGGAGTAGCCTACAAGTATGAGGAAAGGGGTGACTCAGTAAAGCTTTCACTACAGGAGTTATAGCCTCAGCCAGATGGTCCTTCCTCTCATCTCTACTGTCCACCGTGCTTTCCTCACCCTAAACCTTAACAGTCAAACCAGGTTTGGCTCCCTTCAATGCTGAACCCAAGCTGCCTCTCTTGCTTCTGCCTGGTCCCACTCTGATAATGCACTGGACGCTGCAAGAACGCAGGAAACAGCCTCGCCTCCCAAGATTTCTATTTCTAAGTCCTTCCCATTCCAATCTGATTTCCAACCATATCTAGGATCACACTGTCTGGGACTTTGACCATCTCAGGTGCTTGTTGTTTACCAAATTTGTAAGTTAACTCCTTATCTTTAGCTCATCTTTTTAATGAGACACTCTATAAAAAGTAAAAGGAGCTAGAGACCCTCTTATTAAGACAAATGGGTGTTCTCTTAGTGCTACAGACTTTGTCCTCCAGCAGTACAGGAGGAATTTAGGAGCTAGGTGGAGATATTCCCTGAGACACCGACAACTCACTCTGCTTCTAGGCAGTGTGGGAGCTTTGTTTATGGGTGCCTCCTGCTGCCCTCTGTGGCCCTAACATTAGGATCTCTAAAAACATCCCTCTAAATCTGGGGATCCAGCTCCCCCAACACTTTTCAAAGCTCTTCCCCATGGATTCTAAAAACTAAAATCAGTTTACATCTGGTTTATATTCTCAGGTCCTTCATACAAAGGTTGAATCCTTCGTATGAAGGATTGTGAGCTGAATCCTGGAAGAAATGTTAAGAGGTCATTGGGTCTCTTAGCTCAGCTCTAAACAAGGCTGGGTCCAATCCTTTGGGGAATTATATTAGGCTTTTGGTGAATCTCTCAGACACTGCCGAAATCCCAGACTCTTCAAAGCTATTCCCTGGGATTTCCACAAAATCTTTCCAGTTGTTTTTCTTAGTTTTGAGACCTTTCACTTAAAAGGCAAAATTCCAGTTACAAAGAGGCAGGCTGGCCATAGGGAATGAACTATGTTAATATGGCTAGTGTGCTTTTTTTTTTTTTTGTCTCTTTCATTTTTATTGGTACCGGGGATCAAACTCACGACTGCCTGCTTGCAAGGCAGGTGCTTATGCCACTGAGCTAAACCTCCAGCCCCAGGCTAGTGTCAAGTAATCCTTCTCCCTCTTTTTTGCTTTTGGGGATGGAGGCCAGGGCCTTGTGTATTCTAGGCACACCTCCAGTCCCTACCTTTTTCTTAAAAAAAAATCCCTAAAGCTCATCACTTCCAATGGCTGAAGGTTTGTTTTGTGTTAGGGCTATTGCTTTATGACTTTTTAAACACACTCGAGGGCTCAAGGGCTCAGATGCACAAGACTTTGGGGTTGTTGCTTTTGTTGTTGTTTTTCCAGGCTCAAGTGAACCCCCACTTTTACAGTGGATTAGAACTGTGTCTACGGATTTGAGTTTCTCCTTAAGATAAACACATCTACTAGGATTGGCTGGCTAAACACCTCAAGAAATCACACTCCAGCTCCCTAGAGAGAAATGTGCAATCTTCAAATTCACTGCTGGATTTCTAAATTCTTATGCACAATTCACCAGCTCTAGGATTTCTAAATTCTTATGCACAATTCACCAGCTCTAGGAAAATAAGAAAAAGTATGTTACCCTCATTCTCTGTGGGCTCCCCCCTCCCTATTCTACTTTATGATGCCTTTCCAAGGCTCCTGAAAATCTCTCCACACCTCTTCCTGTGTATCAGACAGGGAAGTATGTGTTTATTTTGTATTACAGTGCTGAAACAAACCATGCCCTTCCCCCTAAAATCGTTTCCATATATGAATATAATTTAACTGGTGTGCGGTCCTATGGACAGGGACATCGAGTTTTCAGGTCCCAAGGCGGGCCAATTCCTGAACCCTCATTTTCTCTTCAACTCACACATGTGACGACTATGGGCCTTTCCTCCCCTTTTTCTTTCTGAGATTTCTTTGCCTGGGAGAGTACCTAAGCTGGAGGGAAACCCCCACAGCACGGGAAGGAAGCATGTTATGTACAGGTACCACTCCTTATGGTGAAAGTAATCAATATGTACTGCAGGTCATGTACTAAATAAGCCTTGGGCTCTAACCACCTGGAAGAGCCTTATGGCCTCCATCTCCCACCACATGTAGGTAGCCTTCTAGCTCCTAGGATTTTCATGGAACCCCTGAGACCAGAAGGCAGGCTGAGATCCAGTGACTTGAGCACTGAAGCCAACTCTCACCTAAGATCACACTGGAGAGCAGTCTTACTTCTCCAGTTCTGAACTCGTCTGGGCCCGATGTGGTGGGGTGTTGAAAGCAGGATAAGAGGGGCCGCTGCAGGATCCTCCTCCCTGCATTCTCCACTCAACCAAACTCCCCAGCGCAACTCAACAAATAGTTCAAGAATCGGATAAGCAGAGGGAGCAAGGGCGCGGCCCTAGCTGTATCATTGCACCCCTCCTCCCAGACCCGTTTCCTCGCCTCAACTTCCAGTCTGCACGGTTAGCTGCGTTCCACCATAAGGAGCGCACAACCCAAGCTCAGATGCAGCGTCGAAGTCCTCCACATCATTCCCACCAGACCCAAGCAGCAGGGCGAGGGATGGAGGAGGTGCCCTACTAGGCCTAGCCTCCCGAGGCGCTCCGGGCGCCACAGCCCTGCCCACTTCCCAAGGGCGCGCGCCGGCCAGAGGACATCAGCGTAGTGCGCTGCTGAAGACCGGCTCCGCGCAGCAGCTCCACACGCACCAGGTGCGCGCTCCTGGCCCAGACCTGTCAGTCTGCCCGTCACCACTCAGACCTCCAAAACAACCCGCAGATGTACAGAAGGAAGAGGCCGCGACCGGATCGCGGGGGCAGGGGGCGGGCCGGGGTCAGGCCCAGGCTGCGGCCACGCCTCCTCATTGGGCGGGACTAAGTGGAAGGCCGGAGGGGCGGGGCCTGCCGGGGCTCCCTCCTCCCCCGCAGCGCCCAGTGAGCTCCGGCCCCCAGCGCCCAGCGCGCCCTCCCCCGGCGCCTCCCCGTGCGGGCCACTGGAGTTTTTAAAGTACGCTGGCAGCTGCGCGAGCCGGACATTCGGGAGCGGTGCGCTGCAAGGTCTCTGCGCTCTCGGAGCTCCCGCCGCAGCTCTCCTGGGGCGGCCGTACAATCCTCGGCAGTGTCCTGAGACTGTATGGTCATCTCAGCCGCTGCGCGCGCCCGGACCCGGACTCCTGTCGGCTCTGATCTTCACAGCCACTTTTATTTTTTACTTTTTTTTTTAACCCAGAAAATTAACTCCAGTTCGAGGGGAAAAGGAACTTTGGTTCCCTTCTCGCAGCTCCCTTTTCGTGTCTGACAACCTCCTCCCACTCCTTTTCCCGACCCCGCCTCCAGGTGCAGGTTCCTCCCCGTCACCTTTCTCCACCCCCTTCGTCCGCACCTAGCCGGCCGGGCGCCCGCAAACTTCCACCTGATCGTGCGGGGCGCTAGACCCGCGAGCTCTAAGGAGCGCTCACGCTCGCCCGGATCTCGGGGAACCCGCGAAGGCAGCGATTGCAGCCTCACTGACCGGCGAATTCAGGTGCTTATCGTCTCCAAGGGCCACGGCGACAATGACAGCTGACAAGGAGAAAAAGAGGTAAGCTGGTGTCAGGGCCGGTGAGGACGCTGGTCCGAGGCAGTGGCCGAAATGCGCAGGAGTGGCTCTCCCGCAAGTGCCCCGGAGAGGCGCGCAGAGGTCCTGAGTCCTGGGAGGTGGCACGGAGGACATGGAGCAGAAGGCAGGTGCCGGCTTTGGGGCCGCGGAGCTTGTGGCTTCGCTGTGGAGCGTTCTGTGGCGGGGAGGAGGCGGAAGGAGGTCGCAGCATTTCAGGCGCTCTTGTCCTGGGGCACCAAACTACAGCGGCCAGCAACTTGGAATATTTCTGGGTTGATACCCTCGACTTTCTCAGGTCTTACGGGCTGGAGCCGCAGCCGCTCCGCTCCTCTGTTATCCTCCAGACAACCCCGGGGGGGGGGGGGAGGCATTTCTCCAAATGCGCTCCTGTGGCTGCGCCGCGCCCCCAAAGTGGCTCAGAACAGAACGGGGTGCGCGGCGCAGAAAAGGAGCGGCAGGGTCGGGCCGAGGTCTCCACTGCCAGACGCCACCCGCATTTGTACAGCTCCCCCACTTGGCCTCCGCAGTAGGAGAGTAGTGACCCGGGTTGCCCTGCGGGGGCAGGTGTCTTGGTGTGCAGGGCGGGGATGGCGACAGCAGCGTCCCGGGGACGACTGACTCCTAAGAGGACAGAGAAGGGCAGCTATAGTTTGCCTGAGCGCCTTGCGGCACTGGGTGAGAGGCACCTCGGTCAACCCCGCTGCCCTTGCGAGGGCCGGCCCTTTCCGCCAGTGGCTCTCGCTTGGCCTCTTGCTCCGCTTGTGTCCACCCGCGGGAGCCCAGCAGCGGGGAAGTGGTACGGGACTGGGAAGCCCGAGCGCTGCCGGGAGGGCCAGCCTGGCCCGGAGGGCTCGGTGTCGGAGCTGACTTGCTCTGGTTCGGAGCGCCACTGTGGGACGGGAGCCAGAAACAGCGTATCCTCGGGTCGCGAGCGGCGGCTCCCACCGCAGGGCAGCGATAAGGATTTGATAAAACTGGTCGAGTCGCACCCGTCCTGGCCGGGCGCCCGGGTCCTGCACTCGGGGATCGCCAAGGGGAGGGACCTGGGCGTCACCCCTCCGTCGCGCCCCTGAGGCTGAGCTCAGGTGGGGGGGGTGGGAGTTAGAGGGGACCCCTGAAGGGCAGCCTGTGAGGTTCAGTATTTTTTGTGGGCCGCCAAGCAAGAAATAACACTTTAGGATGCCGACCCAGTTTGTAAAGCCAATCATAACGCTAATTGTAATGTCTGAACAATCAGAAAGCAAAGTTTGAGTCAGCCCTTCGGCGAGGGTTCTGGGCCCTTCAGCCAGCTCGGAACGTATTGTGCATTTTACAACAATGATACCTATCAGGGAATGTCACAATCGTGGAGGAGGGGTCTGATGGTAATCTTGACAAATGTGTGAAGTGTCAGCATCTCCGGCACACCTCGTTGTCGGGTCCTTTGCTATTATATGTCTGTCCATCCTTGGCACAAACCTGAGAGTAAGGGAGAAAGTTTTAGATACAGCCGGCTGCCTGCCGCGTCCCTTTGGTTTGAGGGCTGACGGAGAGGTAGAGGCAGCCGGTGGAAGCGGGAAGAAGGCTGTGTAATGAGCCCCCAGATTATTGGCCAGAGCCGCAGCGTTCAGAAACCTTTGCGGAGACTGCCTGTGAAATCTCCAGGAGGCCACTCCATGTGTTGCGCAGCTAGACTAGTGGCCCTCTGAGACCTGTCTGGGTTTTTGCTTGAAGAATGGCAGGACAAATAGTGTGTCCTTCTCCATCCAAAGTCCCATCCCCTTGATCGAATCGGTTTTTTTGTTTGTTTGTTTGTTTTTTTGAGGCTCATTTACTTTCTCATTTGGGTTCTTTTGGCTCAAGGCTTTTTGAGGAATCAAGATGTCAACATTTGTGAGCTAGTGAGTTAAGAGTGTGATGTGACACCGAGGGGGGGTTCCCTGTTGATTATTCTGCCTACTAGTTGTTAAAAGATCTGTGTTTCTTTTGGTTCCAGAGTAATTTCTTCTCCAAACTTTTGTCATATTCCCTGTAATGCCCCTCAAGAGGTGGGTAGGATTATTTGGTTCCAAAACTTTTCTGCATTGACAAAAACGTTAAAATGTTACAATAAAGAGTTTGCTTTCTAAACAGTACTAAAGTAAGCTCCTTTGGCTTTTGGTGGAGTGAAGTTCTCAACCAGTCATGTTCCTGATTCTAAAAGAACGAAGTATGGAAGTTCTTGAGTGTGGAGGTTGCAGAGTGGACAGGGGAATGTAAATAAGAGCCTTAGATAATAAAGGATCAAAGTCCAGTCACAAAGCCAGGCTCAGGTCTGCACACCTTGCAGGAATGGCTATGTTAGTGTTGGACCAGTGATGAAAGGGGAATGGGAGACACTGGACCAGAAGTTTCCAAACTATCCTTCCCTTCCCATGTCAGCTGGACTTAGTTGTTTGCCAAAATAAAATCAAAGTTCATTTTTTTCCATCTCTAAAGGAAAAGTATTGCTGGACAGTTTTAGTCAATTGAAGCATATTTTAAATATGTATTTCTCTGATATTTGATATCAGTTTACGTTTTATTACCAAAAATGCAGTATGGTGCAGAATAAATATAACACTTTGTGAGTTTAGGTATTGACATTTTAATTTATACAGCTTTTATGAAGTTCAAAACAGTGCTGTGGCTTCAGGCTTTTTCAGTGTTGTTGATGAGAACCTCAGAAGTTTTTCATGAGGGAATTTGAAAAGTATCTAGTCAAGTATTTCTCTCTGGATAAGGTCCTGAGAGGTTATTAAAATGACTTCTGTAGACACAAGGAAAATTAGTACTGATAAGAATCAGAACCCTGGTTCATTATGCTCAATTAGCATTTATTTTCCTATCATTTTCTGTCATTCATTGAAATGCCTGTGGCCAATAAGGTTATCAGAAAGGTTTAGAATATCCGATGCCACCATAGGTGGTACAATGTTCCCCAAGTCACTGAATTTTGCAGAACACAGATTTGCTTTTCTAGGTACTATAATTATAAGAACTTTTGGCCTGCGGCAGAGGTTTGTTTTGGGGGAAAAAACATCAGAGTGTGTGCTAGTCTCTGTGTCTGTAAACCCAAGAGAAGCATGAATTCTTTTCGTGCTGTCCCTTTATTTCAGTTAGAAAAAGATGTCTATATAGATGATCTTATTAAACAAAACTAGTGTGAGGACGCAGGTGGGGTAGATTATTTTGTGAATTAGAGAACATTTCACAGCTGCTAGATTGCTTCTTGCACAGGGTGAATTTCCATTTTCAGTAGGGGTGAAAACCGTAAGACTGAGTAGCTTACATCCAATGTAAATCAGTTTCTGTCTTTCCTGTTTCTGGATATATATGTAGAGGATGATTCTCGACTTTCTAGGAATCTGTGATATAAAGTGTTTAGAAATATAATTATCTAATTGGTTTCTTCTTAGTCCTACAGGACTAAGTATCCAAACACATTTGAAAATACTTGCTATTGTTAATTATCCCAAGATTTAGACTTTTCCACTTTTCAGGAAATCCCTATCCTCTGCCAGCTTGATTGTTTCCCTTTTCATTTTAGCTTGATGGATCTTCTCTTTGGTTTTTAGTACTGAAAGATCTGGCTTTTACCAATATTGTGTAGTTAGCTGTGTTTGTCCCCACGGTCCTAATTCCCTTTACCCCACACCTACCTAACCCCATGGTGTCTGTTCTCATAATGATATTTTCCATATGAATCAGTAAGACAAATGTGTGTGAAGACTTCCTCCTAATTTGGATAAAATGCTAAAGAGAAGAGTAGGCAACGGGGGATGTGGTCCTTGCCTTCAAGTTGCTTAGTCTGATTGAGGTGGGGAGGAGGGACACACAAATGAACTTAGCTGAAAATATAGCCCATAGCTTACACGTGATTTTTCTGTAGGAATCAAATATTTTGAAGCAAAAGATAACACTCTAAGCAGCATTTAAGGTGTGTGTATGTGTGTTTGGGGGTGGGGTTCATAGAGTCCCTGGAGTCACAAAGAGTAGGTGCTAGAAGGCCCAGAGGGGTAGCTGGTGTTTGGGGGTAGTGAGAGTAGGGAAAACAGAGGAAGTTCAAGGGTATTCTCTATCATGAACTTTGTCATCATGGACAGGCTCCCCAAATCAACTGTTTGCTGGACTTGCCTCACTTGCACTGGGTGAGGGGCATGGAGGAAAGAATCTGGTAGGGTTCCCTAAACTGCAAGGGCAGAGAGGCTCCTGGCTCAGCTTAGGAGAGCCATGGAGACAGCTGTGACCCCAAGAGCCACTGAGAAGGAAGTGGGGCCTTTTTACCCAGACTGTAAATTGGCATCAGGGGGTATTCTGTGATTTTTTTTTTGAAACTGTACCACGTGTTACATAAGGACATTGTTTTTCCTGAAGGAATCTGTTCAGCCCTTACTGGCCTTTCAAAGTTGTTTAATCTGGAGAAGGCCAGCCCTTGCACTTGGATGTCCCACTTGGTGACTATTTTAAAGCACTTTAGAATCCTTCTGTTCAGGTCCCAGACCATTCCTGTATTTCCCAGTCCATGTCTTTTCCTGCTTTGCAGAGGAGATAAGAAGTTGGTTTGTGCATCTAGTAAGGATTTTGAGGTGCAACTTTACCTTTTCTGTAGCTGCCAGGCTTGTCTGTCCACCTGCCCATGTACCCTCGGTAATGGATGGAATGGAAACCAAGTGCGTTAATTTTGGTGTGATTCATTTTGTTAATGCTTATTAAGATGCCGGTGAGAATAATTTCAAACACATTTGGAAGTCCTTCTATCGCCTAGGTATGTGTATGCCCTTAAGATAAATCATATACATGAGGACAAAACAAAAAACTGAATATTACATCTTTTTGCGCCAGCACCATCTTCAGAACTTTACATGGATTCATTCTTTTAATCCTCATAACAACTCATGAGATAAGCCCCATTTCACTGATGGGAAAGCTGAAGTATAGCAAGGTTACCGCCCAAGGTTACAGGTAGCACAGGCAGAGCTGAG